GCACATGAAGAAGAAGATCACAGAATTACAAGCAGTAATGAAAAGAATGAACAGCAACTGGAGAGAGCTGGAAAGGAAGATTCTAGAAAGAGTAGGTTGGAGAATGCCGGTTAGTGGAGTAACAGATGTAAGAAAGTAACTTTCGTAGCCAGTAGTCTTTTTCAAATGACGATCGTATCGGTCAGAGAATGAGTTCACTAGAAACGAACATCATATATATATATATATATATATATATATATATATATATATATATATTTCCTGGTGGTAAGATTCACTAAAACTTATTGTGGTGGTGTTTCGTTCTCTGAGCTGGTTGTTTTGGTTGTGGAGCTTTCGTTGTTCTTCTGAACAACATCATCAGCACAACCAAAACAACCAGCTCAGAGAACGAAACACCACCACAATCATCCACTTGAGCTACAAGTTTTCTCCACCATCTCACTAACACTTATTCTTAATGTTGTAATTTAATACTGGATTACGTAATCATCATTCATCAACTGATGAGATAGATTCATTGGAGCTGTGGTGGATGGATGGATATCAACTTAGATGCTGTCTAACTTAATTCCAACAAGTGATCAATCTCTTTTTACGTCTGTTTATCCTGTATAGATTGCTTCTTTATAGTCATTCAGTCACAATCATTATCCGCGTAGATGGATGATGGCAAGCAATGGAATCCTGGATACAGTTTCAATTCTATTTGGGACTTGTTTTTGATTGAATATGCTTGCTACATCTCACAGTCATTGTTCGCTCCTCGACTCATTTCAAACACTATCGTGTTATTCACTTTACTGAATTCAAAACATTTACTGGCTTGTTTTTATTGGTTATTCAAATATTCTCAATGACCACTGCAATTGATCGGCATCGTTCGATCTACGTATATATCCTATGCGGACTACTCTGACAAGTGCCAAATAGATTCCTCTTGTTAACTATCATCCATCCATCTCTGTTGGCAATATCTCAGACAATCTAAAAATACTTAACGTTTTCAAATGTGTATGAATGTTCTATCTACTAGAATTTACTTAGTGTGTGTGTGTGTGTGTGTAGGCAGTACTACCTACAACGGTAGTATTGTGTATTTGCTTCGTAGGTGATTTTTTTAAGACAAAAAAAAAACTATCTATTTAGATAAGTAGTTTTCGATAGCTGGAAAGAAAAACACATTTAGAATGACGTACTAATATGTAAATTGTATTTGTACAAACCGCACTAATCAAGTGCTTTATTATTGTTATTATTATTATTATTATTGAAAATCAATCAGAAATTGTTAAACTGTGGCATCATGTTTTCACATCAGTTTTATTAAGAAGTTGTGATATTTGATGTCAGCCAACTGCATTCTGAAGTAAGTCATACATTCCCGAGGTAGATTCTTTATGTGGTCATGAGGATTCGCATTGCTAAGTAGAGATAATTTATGTGTGAAGATTTTGCGACTTTTCAAAAGTCGAATTACAGATTAACTTTTGCTAAATAACCACTGAAAATCACAAAGCTCTGGGTGACTGTTTCACCCTGCTATTGGAATGTCTAAACATTATCTTTTCACAACCCTGAAGGGTTATAGAACCTGTCAGTTAGTTTTGGTCAGTCAGTTACAACGTAGAACTTGGTATGTACGTACAATTAGTTCATGTTGCCATACGACATTAGCACACAGGTAGTAGAAGTATTGGCGGTAGCAGAGCAGTTTAGGGTTCGACGATATTATTCAAGAACCTGTACACTGATGATAACCATGTGCTTGCTAGTGACTTGTTTTGTGAAATAACTTACAAAGTTCAATTGAGTAACTTTACTCACTGAAGCTTGTGTTATGTTGGGTGTGAGATGGTCTCCCATGGATTGCGGATGCAGTCTATCTCTAAAAAGATCCTATTCTACAACTAAACAGCATTAAAGCCTTTATTCGTTGCCTAACCTAACTATAGGATTGTTGGTCAGTTCAATAAATTTTATCTGACACAACATTGTGTCACATATTTAAATGATTTATTCGAAAAAACGTAAAAGTAGAAAATATCTCATGTAAATCATCGACTGATTAGCTGAACTACATTTGGTGAGACATAAAAAATTTACATGGAATATTTAGTTATGAAGTTAAACAAATTGTTCAATATTCAAACATGACAAATGTCACATAACTTGGAATTATTATGCAGGAAAAATTCTAAGATCAAAACTAATATTTGCCATGCTGAAAGAAAATTTGCTTTCAATCTGTCATTATTACTAGTTTGAAATCATCAATCAATCGTTTTTAGACCACTACCATTAGAAACCTGGAAGCACTGAACAGCTATTTCATCCTGGTATGGGACTCATCAGCAATGAGCATCCACGACTCCTGCACCTTGCAGGATTCAAACCCAGGACCTTCGGTCTCGTGCGCGAAAGCCTAACCTCTAGACCACTAGGCCGGCATCCAGCGGTGTTAATGTCTAACTCTGATTGATCAAGGGATTTTGCACGACCTTACCCATTTGCCTTTGGTAGTTACTGCCTAGAGCCGACAGGGTTGAACTCCATTGGTCACGTTTTCTCACTAGAACTCCGAGAATTTCCTCAAAAAGCTAGTCACTAGTGAATACTAGGTAAGTTATGGAGAGAGTGTTTTTACACATTTAAAATCGTGGATGCTCACTGCTGATGAGTAGTCCCATACCAGGACGAGACGGCCGTCCAGTGCTTTCAGGTTTTCAATGGTCGTCTAACAATAACTGATCGATGACTTCAAATGCGTAAAAACACTAATCTCCGTAACTCCAATTGAAAATATTATTACTAGAGATCAAATATTTTATTGGTTTCTAACAATTTTTACCGATTATGATTTTGTTCGATATAACTCCTCATGGAGTCCTCCTGGGGTTAGTGCCAGTCCCAAGTGTGAATAAAGGACGAGGGTTGGGCACGGGGTTAGCGACCGCAACCCATAGGAAACTAACTGTGTTAAAAATACGCTAACCAAAGAAAAAATAATTCAAACTACAGGTGATTTACTTTGTGACAGTTTCACAATACTAACCATGTACAAAAACTGAATGCTGTTAAAATATCAATCTTTTTTCATAGGCAAATATAAAATCTACAACCGTGATCTTTTGTTTCTTAGAAAGAATAAAGGACGATGAGGGAAGCGAAAAAATCATAATGTAAACTAGAAGCACTGGATAGGTGCTTCGTTCTAGCATGCGACTTATCTGCAGTGCGCATTCATGAACCGTCACTCAAGGGAATCAAACTCAAAGTCTTATCTCAGTGCTTCTGGATGTTAGATACTCACCATGAGACGTAAGCCTGGAAACACTGAAAGTCGGGCGTTCCATCCTGGTATGGGACTCATCAGGAGTTTAGCGTTCACGAGCAAGACCAAAGGTCCTGTGTTCAATTCTTGCAAGTAGTAGGAGTCGTGGCAGCGCACTGCCACGGAGGGGTTAAATACCAAGTTTGTTCCTGATGGTAGCCTAACAATGACTGATTGATGATTTCAGTAATTTCGTAGTCATATTACTAACAACATCCAGTTGGATATCAGTGAAAATAATTTGATTTTACTAAACTTTCTAATTATTTTAATTTTACACAGAGAGATCTATGCATCAGAATAATGTTTTCTTGAAATATCTCACATGTCAGTGAAATAAATCATCACCAAATGTTTAAGCGCCAATCTTAATCCGTAATTTTGTTTACATAGACTCAAAGTTTGAAAGTAAACTACGCTGTTTTACTTCCAAACTAAAATATGTATCTAGTCGTCATTATAAATGCAAAGTTTAAACTCATAACGATCGAGGTTTTTTTATTTCTAAAAAACAAACGCTGATAAATCTATTTATTACCCCGGATTTGTAAGTGTAGATTCACAAAGTTTGAAACAAACCTTATTGATCTATATTGATTTACACGTGAACATTGTTGTACGTGCAGCAGCTTATAGAACAAATGTGTTTTTTTGCACACTAATTCAGTAAAACGAGTCAGGCATAAATGATTCACATTTTTTCTACACAATATTCATCCCTGACTTCTGATAGCCTCAGCTAATAGAAAGATTTGTCATGACAACATCAGAACGAACGAAGTTTTTGCATGACTTCGTTGAACAATTCATGTCTTATTTGATTTAAATCATGAATCTCCGCCCTGACTTATCTTACTGAGTTCACTTAGTACAGTATCACTTGACGTGTATGAAAACCGCTAGAGAATAGTTATCAATAGTCAGAACGTACATTTAAACACAGAGTAACAGTCAGTTAATAAGTTCTTCGTAAGAACAAAGAAATATATATATATATATATATATATATATATATATATATATATATTGTAATTTATTTCAGTAGTTTATGCTTCTCGTATCCCATCTTCAAACTAAAATCTTCTCGATTACTGCTAATACTGTGATAACATCAATCATTATGAGATGAGATTTGTTATGTTAATCTGGTGTGGTCACTTGAACCGATGTATGTACATATGAAGTTCTACGTTGTTGCTGACTGACTGACGAAGTGACCGAGAGAATTCAAGCACATCTACACAAATTTTATGCTAATCATGTTTTTCAGCTTAGAGAATGATGTCATGTAACTCTGCTTGGATCCCTTCTGGGGTTTACTGTCTAACCCGAACCTTGGATAAGTGAGGAATAGTGGGGCATTAGGTTAACAACTCCAAATCACTTAAAAAGCAACTGCAATGTCATGTCAATTATGTTGTCATAACAATTATAAATAACTGATTCATTATGATGAAGTTTCATTCACTGGCCTAAACACAACAACATCATCAGCAGCAGAGAAGTGAACTATTCAACTGTACAGCATATACATGACTCGTTACTTGTTCTGTTGAAAGCTACACAGTTGAAAACACATCCAACTTAGAGAATGAAACTTCTTTAAAAGCAAAAGTATATAAGCAGTACAGATATATGTAGGGAAACATTTTTTTATTAATCTTACCTGTAAATCTTCGTGATCCGGATTTTACAAATTGAAATGATCCATTGGATCGTGGACTTGTTGATCTCATAAAATCATTATTATTATTACTATTATTATTGCTATTAATATTGATATTTTCTAAATTCATTTTCCGATCATTCTGTAAATTAGAAGACAATGGTGATAATCTTGATGTAGCGACATTAGAAGATGGAGGGGATGTTACTGTTGCTGCCGCTGCAGTTGTCGCCGATGCTGTCGCCGTTGTTGTCGGAATACTGATCACTTTGTGATTTTTAACTTTTGATTGTCTCATCCATGCCGGTGCATCAAACAGTAGATAATCCATTTTCGGTGACATCGGTGGCGAGGATGAGGACGGTGTCGATGACATTCTTACAGTGTCCATTGGTTTCATAGTGAATTCGCTGGAATGTTGACGATTATGAATGACAGGTTTATCGTTGATCATATTATTATGTTTAACGGGGTATGATGTTTCAACATTAATATTATTTGTAGTACTAGTAATACTAGTAGTTGTATTAGTAGTATTAGTAGTAGTATTAGTAGTAGTAGTAGTAGTATTAGTAGTAGTAATATTAGTAGTAGTAGCACTGGTATTTTCCAAATATTTTTGTCTTTTAACAATTTTACAATTATTATTTGAATTTAATAATTGTGCAGTAGGTTGATTCTGTGCAAAGTTATCATTAAATAATGTTGATTCTTGTAAATAATTTCTTCTAAGTAATAATAAATTTTCATCATGTTGTTGTACTATTGGTGAATAAGTTGATTTAATTGTTGAAGAATTCATGTAATCACTTCTTGTTAATCAGAATAATCAGTTTGTTTTGTTTCTTTTTTTGGCGGAAATTTGATTCGTCTCATTAATCATTGAAAATAATTAAATTAATTTGTGAAATCATTCGCTGTAGAATATTGTAGAATGTTGTCTGTACTCAATTTACATGACTACAATATTCATAGGATTAGTTCAAAAAATTGACGATAATTTAATTTAATTTAATTTAATTTAATTGTATAATCCACAAACTTTGCCAACTAGTGTGTATGTTCAATGTTCAAAAAAAACATTCATTGAAACATTGAATCACTCGAATTTTTCGTATTATATTATCTCCTCTACTATTATTTATTATCTAGTAGCATTCACTACGAATATGTATCAAATGAGATTTAGGTTTAGGCTTGTTACTAAACTACACAACTATGTAATAGATATGTGTAGTATGTATGTATATCAATCTACACCAGTAAAACAACACCGATACTCATACACACACACACATACACTTAATGTGAAGAAAGAATACACACATATATATATGGTCAGATGATCCGAAGAAAAGAGGAGGCCTACAGGTATGTATGTACAACATTCAACAATGTACGAACACACGCAGAGAGAGACACACGAGCACACACAATCTTTTTTTTCAGCTACAGTGTTATTGATAACCCTGAACTCAATGATTCTTCACTTTTCTGTCTTTCGGAGATAATATTTTTGTCTTAGAAAGTTTTCAAACATACAATCAGTTACATAATTGGCGTTGGTTGATTAGTTAAGCTTATACTTACTTACTTACTTACTATACTACCAATGATAAAAGAGAAGAGCAGAGGAGAAGATACACCATGCTGTATGTGTGTGCATGCATACACATACGCACACACACACACACACTTATTTGCTTGTCCCGAAACTTCACTCTACTCATCCGCTAATTATATCATGTGAGTGATATTCAGTAATTAGGTATACTAATGAAGCAGAAGAACTAGAAGAAGAGTACTACACTGTGTACTTTTAAATACTACTGAAATTACCACACACAGACACGCAAGGCATACACACACATTATGTATACGTAAAGTGTGTGTGTGTATGTGATTTCTCTCTCTACAAGAAATATTTCAAGTTAGATTAGATTAGATTAGTACTTTACACCCACAACTCGGTTGTATCAATCACATTTATTGATTTGTATGTATCAGTCGAATTGACATTAGAAAAATAAATCAATAAATGTGACGTGAAATTCCATTTAAATTGTTGATTATATAATTTGTACGACGATTAGTGTATTTCTTCATACGTCAAGATACCTGTGCATGATCAGTGATTGAGTAACTATGGCAAACATTTTTTTTCTCTTTACTGGTAAATTTTCAAACCATTGATAGATGAAAATGGGGTCAGAACTTCACCCTCCTCAATCTTGTCATGAAACTATTAACTCCATGCAATAGACAATCTTCACGAAGTCATGTCGCAAAAAAATTCAATTGAACAAGTTTGATTAATGGCATCAGTTCATTTTGTATTTGTCCAACTGATTTGGCAAGATCCTAGCCGTAGGATTGGTTACTCATTTGATGGATCCAGTTTACACGCGTGAAGTGTGTTGAAGACCGAATCTATTTACCTCTGTACAATCAAAACAAAGGTGAAAACAATGACAGTTTTAAGGTCAGCAGCAACCAATCAAGATCGAGGTTAACAGAACAAGCTACAGGTCAAACGTGGATACATTCGAATGCGCTTCACTTCTGCTATTTAAAGTTTGTGCTGATGTTGATGTTGTTGTTCAGAAGAACAATGAAAGATTCACGACCAAAACAATTTCCAGTTCAGAGAACGAAAGACCGCCACGATCATTCTTTGGAATGACTATTCGTCATACGTATAAACAAGAACAGATTGTGAACTGATTGATACACACTGCACAGTCACTACTTGACTGACTAGTGACTAGTGTATACATAACATGTAGTAAGTTGGCAGCGTACCAAGGATATAATGAAACATTTTCTCAAAAAAACAATGTACACATTCATTCGATCAGTTTCAATTATTTTTTTCTTCAATTTTCCATCTAAAGCGACACACACACACACACGTTCAATGATCACTTATTTCTAATTTATATTGATTTACTCGTAAACTATGTTCAGTTTGAATGCATCAACCAAGTCTAGTTTTACATAATACAATTTTGAAATTGAATCAACATGTTCCTTTTTTTGTCTAAAGAAATCGACCAATCATTAAAATCGATCAAATTAGTTGAAACTACACAAAATCTTTGTAATTGTAAACGTGTTGATTAGTTAGTTAGTCGGTTGGTGAACTTATATATATATATATATATATATATATATATATATATATATATATATATATATATATACAGCGAATTGGTTACATTCACTGCCAGAAATTTGAAATAATCACAAATATATGCAAATTTTGCTGTGACTGACTTATTGATTAAGTAACAAGGTGTATTTATAGCTAGATAGATAGATAGATTGAGAGAGAGAGAGAGATAGACTGTATTTCATAACAGTATCAAGCCAACTTTTATCTTTGTTCGACTATTGGAATGTTGCACAGTTTTTTTTGTTTAAATCAAGAAGTCAAATTTAAGATCTTCAGCTTATCTTTAAACTACTAGTGACTTACTGTTTGTTCATGTAGTAGTTGTATGTGTCGGTTTACGGGTTGTGCAGATTGTTGAGACTAAGCGTTTGCATGCGAGACTAAAGCTCTTGGACTTGATTTCCACGTGTAAGCGCACGGCTGATGAGTCCCTATGCTAGGATGAAATAGCCGTTCAGTGATTCTAGCTCTCTTCTGATGGTGGTCTAATATTCATTTGTTAATGATTTCGATAGAACGAATCAGTGATTGACTTACACTTTACTAATGAACTATGTACACACACACCTAATCTTCAGATTTCCTATTTGAAAAACAAGCAGATTATCGACTGTTTTCTTCAATAAGTCTTCTAGTCTTCAAAACATTCTGATCGCAACATATATTTAGATCTGACTTTCTTATCTCTAGCAGTAATTTCTGGGTGACACTCTGCTGCATACTACTTATAAGCTACGTTGTATACAAATGACCAAGCTGATCACTAAGAGTTTGCGTGAAATGTGATAACTGATTCTCATCCACACACATTATACTGTCAATTGTACATTGAACAATTCTTCATTCTTAGCTTATTTATCAAGAGTTGAACGCACTAGTTTTGTCAAACTAATGATACCCATATAATTGATACCGAGGCAATGCTGAACCAAGAATCATTATATCAGTGGAATAATTCAAACTATTTATTTCAAACCAATCAGCTGTTTCACAAGGCATGTTCTAACTTGACATTCTCTTGGCCGATGGGAAATAGGAACGCCACAGATTATGCAAAGAATGAGAAGCCGACATGTAAAAAATGAACAGTAATTTTAGATAGAACTTGGAAAAGAAGCCCCTAGGACCGAGTAGGTTAAAGAATGTTGGTCAGTGACCGATACCCCATTAGGAGGATAAAAGGCGTAAGTAAATAACCTATAAGTAACTATATAAGCAGTTGATTGATATCAAAATCTCGGTTAGGAAAAAGTTTGCAATCTTTAAATAAAGGTAACCATAAAACAAATTTGAAGAGTTACTATTTTCTAGAAAAAAAAATGGTGATTTTTTCAAAATCATTCAATGATCAATAATTTACCAGAATGTGTACTCCTTTTTTTAATGAATACCATAGTAGGTAACATTTTAGGTTGTAATTCATTCTATCTTGTCAGTATACCTCAAATGTACAATACTTTATAGATAGATAAGATGTATGTGTGCGTATAGATGACAACACATTACTTAACACAACATGATAGTTGTGGCATAAATCAAGATATTATAACTAATGAGTACAATTAAAATAGTCAGTCAGTTAGCAACAATGTAGAACTTTGTACATGTATATGTATCAGTTCGAGTTGCCATACCACATTAGCACACACCGATGCGACTGTCAGTTCAAATCCCATAATGTTAGCGATAGTAGAAGAATCAGCGTTAAAGGAGAATTTTAGGGTTCGAAGATATTATTTAAGAAGTATAATTTAGTGAGATAACTTTAGAAGGAGAAAGATAAAGGTGATGAGGTATTCGGAAGATTAGATTTTGAGAGAACACAAACAGTGGATGAATCTGCACTATTGCAAACCATTTTGAGCCATATCATTCAAGGTCTCTAACCATCGGTTACTATCGTCTTGCGGACCCTAACCAGGTAGTCTACATTTACCAGTATGACTGGATTCAATTGTCATTGACTTCATGGATTTGTATCATGTTTTGATTTGGCCATCTCCTACACCTCACAGCATAGCTTTTCGAGGCAGTCGGTGGTTGATTGTGCATTCATAACACATGTCGCAACCACCTCAACTGATGAAGTTTCACTACTTCATCTATTGATCTGCCATCTCTACCTAGTACTTGTCTCGTAACAACTGTATTGCTTACTCGATAGTCCCAGGATATACGAGTAATGCTTCGAAGACACCTATGATAGAATACGGAGTATCACAAAATCAAAAAAAACCTATCGACACTAGTAGAAGGTTGTCTGAATTATCCCTATTTATTTGTATCAAGGATTCGTTTAAGTTAGACAATCATTAGGTAAAATCATTTTGTCCGTATAGTATGACATGTATCTATGAATACGATTCCAATCCAGGAACTTTTTTTAAAAAAAACCAGCAACCATACAAACCATGCCACATTTTGATCGAAATTCATGTTTTTTTTTGGAAATCAAACACATCAAAATTGATAACATGAAAGAATACATTTCTGTGAATCATTCTTGATCAGTTAACTCCGCGTGGAGCCCTTCTGAGGTTGTTGATGTTCCTAAGTCCCGATAATGAATAAGGTTTGGTCATAAAGTCAGTGAACCCATCACGTCGAACACTAACTAACTCGCTAAAATAACGCTAACCAAACTACCTAAACTCTGCTTTGATAATTGGAAGATCTTTATTTAGAAGAGTGATGACGTTTCATGATGAAAGACAAGTCTCTTCGGCAGGTACGAGGCTGATATCTGTTCTGACAACCAGGGCAACTATTAATATTTTACATGGAGACTGGAAGAAAAGATCCTAGTAGAGAGTAGGTCGGAGAATGCTAGTCAGCGGCCTAAGTAAGTAAGTAAGTAAGTAAGTGAGTAAGTAAGCAAATAAGCGCTTAAGTAAATGCATACGTAAGTAAGTAAGTAAGTGAGTGAGTGAGTAAGTAAGTAGGTAAGTAAGTAAGTAAGTGAGTGAGTGAGTAAGTGAGAGAGTGAGTGAGTAAGTAAGTAAGTAAGTGAAAGAGTGAGTGAGTAAGTAAGTAAGTAAGTGAGTGAGTGAGTGAGCAAGTAATTAAGTAAGTGAGTGAGTGAGTGAGTAAGTAAGTCAGTAAGTAAGTAAGTAAGTAAGTAAGTAAGTAAGTAAGTAAGTAAGTAAGTAAGTAGGTAAGTAAGTAAGTAAGTGAGTGAGTGAGTAAGTGAGAGAGTGAGTGAGTAAGTAAGTAAGTAAGTGAAAGAGTGAGTGAGTAAGTAAGTAAGTAAGTGAGTGAGTGAGTGAGCAAGTAATTAAGTAAGTGAGTGAGTGAGTGAGTAAGTAAGTCAGTAAGTAAGTAAGTAAGTAAGTAAGTAAGTAAGTAAGTAAGTAAGTAAGTAAGTAAGTAAGTGAGTGAGTGAGTGAGTGAGTGAGTGAGTGAGTGAGTAAGTAAGTAAGTAAGTAAGTAAGTTAGCAAGCAAGTAAATTGTTGATGAGTTGTTACGTACTAAGGCAAAACATTTGTCCAATGCTTCCAGTTTTCCAATGGTGCTTCAACATTGGTCACTTCATAATTTCACTAAAATCAACGTATTCATGACTACTAGTCAATAGAAAAAAAATCAGTCGTTCAAAATGGTATCAAAGGAACGTGAAGCCTTTTATTCGTGTGACTTATTTTTTTTTAAAGAGAGACAAGAAAATTGTTTTATGGCAATGTTATTCACAAAGAATAAGAAAATCGTCAAAAGAACACCAAATTTCATTTGATTGCTTGTTACATTCCATCGAATTGTTATCGGATAGGTAGTTAGTTAGTCGATGAACACATACCAATCTTTTCTGGCCTTTAATTACGTAAACCATCAGAACAGCTAAATTACAGAACGCAAAACAAAATACACCCACGTATTCATTTTGTACATATATATATATATATATATATACATAATAAACATACCTCTTAGTTATGAATTGTCAAAACACTTTGTCATCATCCAAATTACAGGCTTCGTCATTGTCAGCTTGATCATAATGCATAGATAGATCTTAGCCAAAAAAAAACTGTATCACTGACCTGTGTAGGAATATAATTTGGCTTAGAAGAAATCAAGAAAATGTGTGTGTGAGCAAAATAACGTGAACATGATGAACATGATGGTGTTGTTATTTGCATGCACATACACAAGTAAGTAATATACACATTCCGACAAAAAAAAGAAAAACTTGCATAAATCAAATATTGTTTGTGTTATTTGCGAGCGAAGCCAGTAAAACGAACCGCCCGCAATGACCTTGACACTTAACATACAAACAAACAAGTCAAAATAATGCAACATGCCAATTTTTCAAAGTCACTGAAAAACTTACAATCTAATACTACAATTCATTGCAACAAAAGAGACAGTCATGCATTCTACCGTCATATATTTACTGTCTGTCTGTCTGTTTATCTGTCTGTCGGTCATCTGTCGGTGACTTGTCTAGCATTCTGTGTGAACTGTTGTACGCTTAAGGATATCAGATTCTGTCATCGTCTTGTGTTGTTTCGGTTTTTCAGTCGATAACACTTTGATGATATATTGATTGCGCAAATAATGTATGTAAACAAGCAAACTCACCTGCAATACGTGCTCCACACGGTTGACCTTCATTCCTAAGTTTTATCGATTTTTGTTGTTGATCGGTGAAAGGCAAGTAAAGACAGTGATTATTATCGAGAGAAGGAAAGAGAGACAGAGAGAAACAGAAAGAAGAGATAACGTCAATTAACAGAATGCATGCAAATAAATAATAAAATAACTATTTATAAACAATAGTTTTTTCGATCGAAGTTAGACATTGACACCGTTAGATGCTGACAAAGTGGTTCAAGGGTTAGGCGTTCGCGCGTGATCTACAGTTGATCGATTCATGATTTCGAAAAGTAACGCAAGAATCTCCACAAAACTATCATGCAAATTTTGTTTTAATACAACTGATCATAACTCATCATTCTGAACATGAGAAAGAGAGTCGAACCGTAACTGCTACCTTAATGTGGTAGTAGGGCTTGACTATCGTGATGACCTAACCGAGTTATATTGGCTGGAACATATGTTCCTGAAGGTTCTACCATGTCAGGCAGGTCGATTGGAGAACAATGAGACTAAAAACAGCTACTCAAGGTCTGAGGGTGAATTCGTACTGCTGACTGTGAAGTGGTGTGACAGCGCAAAGGTGTTTCCCTCGGACAGCCAGCATCCAGAGCGATGCTACCTTCTCACAAGGAAGGAGACGGTAAGGCTATTTGAAGAGCGAAGCGGAGAGAGTGAGTCAACCTACTGAAAATCACTGATTGTTATATCAGTGAATAATATCAGTAACTCTTAAATGAATACAAGACTGCGTCACTATTAATTTTAATATCACCAACAAAAAACCAGATTGCAATTCTTTAGAATAATAGCTAACAGTATTGTTAGGATATTCACCAAATATCTTAAGAGTACTACTTTTGGAAGTATAATCCTATTGATCGATTTCTATTGGTCAAAATTATGGTCGTTTTAACTGTCAAAATCAAATACTTCAATGTTGTCTCTGATTGGTCTTCCGGACTGTCAATGTCATTTCACATGTTCTTTTCTATTGGTCGTCTTAAACTGGCAATGTCACAGACTTTGATGCTCTTCCCTATTCGACCACTGAAAGAAAACCGTTTCGACCTGGTATGGGATTCATCAATGGCAGTGTGCATCCACGACTCTTGCTACTTACAGGATTCGAACCAAGGAACTCCGTCCTTGCGCCCACAGACGTTTAACCTGTGGATCACTAGGCCGGCATCCAACGGTGTTGATGTATAACTCTGATCAATCTAGAGATTTTTTTTACAAAATCTCACTCATTTGTCTTCGGTTAGTTACTCTGTATACCTTTCTTACACCATCAGGTTGTATGCCCTTTGTATTTCCCTTGAAAATATGTAATCAACCATACAGTAAATTGTAACTTACTTTTTCAAACTATACGTAGTCCAAAATCCATCATTCAAATATTGACTAGAACCTGATTTCAATGTATGTTTCAGGGTAGTTGAATGTATTAAATTTTGATCACCAGTTAAACTTTTAGATCGTTTCAGTTGTTGTAATTCTCTTTGAGTATTTAATAATTCTTCTCGTAATTTTTGTTCACGTTCATTGATTTCAGTAGTATTAGTAGTAGTAGTAGTAGTATGATGATTACGCAGTGTATAAGTTAAATGTGGCAGACTACCTTGACGATTATCCACTGAAAGTAGATCAACTCTTGATGCACCACCTGATGGCTTGATAGAGAATTTTTTCAGGAAAAAAAACAAGAGAAGAATTTTCCAATTGAAAACAAATAAAACTTGTCAGGTTACTAATACAGTCAAATGATACAGTCAATCAGTCGAGTCAGTCATTTGCAACGTAGAATTTCATACTTAAGTATATCAATTCAAGTTATCATGTCACCAGCACATTAGCACACACTGTTAGGATATTCATCCAATATCCTAAGACAATTGTTGGTCAATTCCTATTGGTTAATTCCTACTTGTCAATATAATGGTCGTCCTAGATATCAATGTCATGTACTCCAATGTTGTTTCTTATTGGTTGTCATGACTGTCAATGTCACAGACTTTGATGCTGTTTCATATTCGACCGAAATGTATAAATACGCATTATCTGTAACTTTTCAGGGACTAGACCTGGACCCGGATGCCTAGTCAGTGGTCTGATTCTCTTCCGGACTCGGACCTTGCACTTTCTAGATGCTTGTAGAATACATGTTCTACTTCATATCAAGTCTTCTTCTTTTACTCAATGGGGGTTTGGGACGCTCGGATTAGAGTAGCCTGTCGTGTCACCAGACCCTCAAATCCTCACTCTCGTATTCCTACTTAGATAAACTCGTAATAGTTCATGTATATCGAATTGACGTGTTTAAGTGCATGCGTAACACACACAGAGACGTGATTGTCAATACAAACTCAATATAATAGTAGAGTTAGTAGTAGACGTATTACCGGTAACAGCCAAGATTTGTGATCGAAGATATAAGTCAAGAGGTAAAATCTAGTGTAATAAATCCAGAAAGAGAAATAGACAGAAGTAATGAGGAGTTCAAAAGATTAGGATTTGAGAGAACACAAAGAATGGATGTATCTGCACCACTGAAAAACAATTTTCTTGGCCGTATCATTCAAAGTCTCTAACCATCGATCACTATCATCTCGTAGACCGCAACCAGGTAGTCTGTACTTACCAACATAACCCGATCCACTTGTCTGTCAGTGACTTCATGGATTTGTACCATGTTTTGGTTACTTCCAGTCTACTACATCATCAAACATTGCTCGTTGAGGCATTCGATGTTTAGGCATACATAAAACATGACTAACTCTCTATCTATATTAGAGTTCAGTGCTAATAAAAACAACCAATCAAAATCAAGGTCAACTGAACAAGCAGCTAGTCATACAGACACACACACACATGTGGAACAATTTAAAAATACGTTCACTTACTGTATGTTTAACAACCATTTCCACTGGATCATGATGTTTTTTAATATGTTGTCTTGTTAACGTTGTTGCATATCTTCCACTATTCACTGATGATTCTTTCCATAATCCAGTATTTTGCATAGATGACCAACGTGAAATATGCGATTTTGTTGGAGAATAATAATTTAAAATATTATGTGATGTGGTAGTTTTATAGTATGGTGGTTGTTGATTTTGTTGATAGCGTATATTATTATTATTATTGTCAGCATATTCATTGAAACGTCTAGTCTCGGAATAGGTACGACTTCGAAAAGCCCGATGAACATGATGATTATGCGCTGAAAATCAATCAATTTTTTATTGTTGATTGTTTTATTTTTTTTGAAATTGAACATTGAAAAAAAGAAATGATTTAAACAATTCGATGAGAGCAGAAAAGAAAACTCATTATTGGACATTGATAAATAGTTGACAGTGTCAATTTTATGATTCGTTTTTAAAGATTGAATAGTATTTCACGAAAGAGATTTGTGGAGTTTGCATCTTAAAGCACTGGAAAGCCGTTTCATTCTAGTATGGGACTCATCAACAATTTACAACCATGAGTCCCACCTATCAGAATCGAACCAAGGGCCTACGATCTCGAGTGCAAATGCTTAACATTTAGGCTACTGAGTAGTCAACATCCAATAGGTGTTAACATCTAAATTCAATCGATTCATGTTTATTCCAGAAAAATGTAGTATTCACACAAGTTACGTAACATTATTATTATTATAGGGTTGTTTAAATTGTTGAGATTCTTTGTAATCATGAATCGATCAGTGTTAGACCATCATCAGTAAAACCTAGAAGCACTGGATGGACAGTTTTGTCCTGGCATGGGACTCGTCATCAATGTACATCCTCAATCCTATGATGAAAATTATCATGTGCTCACTTGTGACTGACTTCGTGAGGAAACTCTCACAGTCCTAGTGAGAAGTCATCGGCAGTGGTTTTTAATCCTAACCACTGTAAGACAATTTTACCTATCAAAGACAATGAATGAGGTCATGTAAAACCGTACATTAATTGAAAACTACTTGTATTCATTTGGGTACACTGACGGTATTTCAGCTCACATTCTCATTCAAGTTTATTGCTTTGCGAAGAGTATAGATATTTAGATGCCCCTTTGTATTAATTCATAGAAATAGTATGCGAATAGGGTCTATTGATTTTAGTTGTGAGTCTCATCAATAAAAAATAAGTTGTAAATCTTTACAGTATATATATACATAATCAAAATTGCTTACTTTCTGAATGAGAATCCCATGCACCACTATCTGACTGACGTCGTTTAAAACGTTCGTTTGACAGATTATCACTAAGATAATAACGTGATCCTGGGATGAATTGACCACTACGACTAATATTGCCCAATCTTGCAGTATGTCGTTGATCCATCGGTCCGTGTACATTACCACCACTGTCCACATCTACATCATATATACATAATCATAAAATTATGATAATCGTTATCTCTGATAGAATCTTATATATTTGACAATAATTAATAGAGAGTAGCATAATGAGAGAATTCTCAGAAGCTGTGGTCAGTGGAGTTCAACTCTGTCGTGTGTAGGCGGTTAACCAACTGGAGACAATGGTTGAGATTGTCTAAAATCCTAGATTGATCAGACGTAGACATTAACACCGTCGCATACAGGCTCTGTGGTCTAGAGGTTAAGCGATCCCATGCAAGACCGAAGGTTCTGGTTTCGAGTTCTGCTTGTGGGTGCTGAGAGCTGACGAGTTCCACACTAGGAGAAAACAGCTGTATTTCAGGGTCTTCAGGTTTATGGTGGTGGTCTAACTATGATCGATGAATAATTTTAAATGAATCTTCATATCTATATAATGAAAATATATATATATATATAGATATTTCCCGGTTAAACAACTATTCTGCTGCACATGCATTTGAGGTGCTTTTAAACTGCACAAGAAGTCTAGCAGTTCATCAGTATACACAATTCTCCTCACTCGAAAGCATGTACACGTTGTCTAGATTTGGTCTTTGCAGCTAGAATAGGTAACACCGTACAGGCCCTTCAAAAGCAGTTCGATTTCTTCATTCCAATCACAACCCGATTTCTCCGGTCGGCGAAGGCGGGCTAACGCAGCTACATCTGGTACCTTCCATAGACTACCAAGTCATTCGAGCCATGGGCTGATCAATAACCATACTGGCCTACAAGACAAGATCCGTAGTGGTGCAGCGGCAGACCGACGACCAGTACCCCCAAGACTTTCATAAGCCAAGGATCGGCAACTCCTCGAGAAGGAAATCTAGCACACACATGTGCCCATCAGAAAGACTTCACTTACTCAGCAGAGCGCAACGGCCTCTCATGCCATGCAGAGCCTCGTAATCACAGAGATGGGTAGAAATAAAATGCGATCGAGCGCCACAGAGCACAAGACCCCATCAAGCCAACTTGAGACCCTTGTGAGAGGGCCCCAACTCCAGCTTACACACAGTCAGTAAAATAATTCTATCAGTGTGGTGAATATCACTCGCAACATGGCTTGTAAGTAGTATACACCGGAGTGTTTCCGAAAAGTTACTACCGAACAGAAGAGTGTTGGATCTAAATCTATTACATAATCAATGTGTATTGAAGACTAGAAGACATGTGGAAGAAGACAGCTGACGGCCTGTTTGTTTTGAAAATGAACTTACGAAGATAATATGCACAAATTTCACAATTAAACTGTGTCGTCTTTCAATAAATTTCTGATCCCATCTAATATAATTACAATTGGTAGTTCTCAATGAAATCCAACAGTCTGCACATCCTCAAACTGGTTAGTTGGCTGAGTATATACATGTAGTTATTGAAATCAAGCATCGAATCTCCATGAATTAAGAAATAAAGTTTATGACGTTTTTAAAATATAGTATACGATAGTGCTATTCAAATAATTTAATATATTATTTTGGTTAGACCACAATTGGAAACCTGGAAGTACTGAAAGACGGACATTTCGTCCCAGTATCGGACTCATCAGTAGCGTTGCGCATCCATGACTCCTGAAACTCGCAGGATTCGAACCCAAGACCTTTGGTCTTACACGCGCAGACGCTTAAGCTCTGAATCACTGAGCCTGCATAGAGCGGTGTTAATGTTTAGCTTTGATCAATCCAAAGATTTTGCTCAAGCTCACCCATTTTCTTCGGTAGGTAACTAACTGCCTTCACCCTATAGGATTGGACTTCACTTGTCACGTAATCTCACTAGAACTCCAAAAATTTTACTCACGAAGCTAATCGCTATTGAGCACATTCATCTCAGTATCTCAGTAATTTATACAGTAGATAATATCTTCAATATATGATTACTTATTATCAATATTCTCCTTTTACACATTTTCTATTGAAAATTGAATTCAAATGAATGTTTGAAATTCAAGTGTTCAATATCATTTGAATCAAAAATTTTAATTCATTGAAAAATAAACGATAATCTTATCATGGTTAGATTGAAATGAAGTGAAAAATGTGAATTTTTTTATTGATTGCCTAATTAGTGCATTCAAAGCATTGAAAGTTAACTTTTTGTTTGTAATCGTCAACTAAAAAAATAACGAATCAATGTAATTTTACGCAGGTATCTTGCACAGTTTAACTCTCTGCATAACTATTTGCATTTAGCCACTTCTGACTAGTTCATTAAATCATCATCAACTCTGAAATGTACCAGGTGTACCGAGCCAAAAATATGTCCCAAATAATGTTCACTATAATCAGTGATTTAATGTAAAGTTTAATTTTACTAATCACTTGTTCACTTGTCCTATCGATTGTTTAAAACACCATGAAATGGATTCAATGTTCAACTGTTCAACTGTTCATTTCACTCTTCTTTCAAACAGAAAAATTCAAAAACTTTTAAAAAATATCAAGAAATCTATGCTTCAACTATTTGATAAACGAAGGATAAGTTATCTGAGTTGGCCTACTCTATGTGAATTTACAAATTCAGCTGCTCCTGTGGAGATAGCTATATCGGGCATACTACCAGGAAATTAGCCAACGAATGAGTGAACATCTCCCAGAATGGTTTATGAAGGGCTAGTTAAAAACAATATTCAGTTCTATCTTAGCATACCTGGTTGATATTGGTCACATTGTAGATAAATCTAGATCGTTGCGAGTGATGTGTTGTATACCTCCATCATTTCCCAACAGAGTTCGATCCCGTTTCCTACATTTAGCAGACACCATAGGAATTCGTACATTCAACCCCAGTTTGAGTGTTCAGAAGAAATTCATGACACACCTGTCTCTTCCGTGGCCAGATATGACGTAACTGACGATTTAAGATTTAAAATTTTATTTTGTTATTATTAGCATTATTTTCACATCCTGGTATGTGTTGGCAATTTTCTACGTCTTTCCGTTTATATTCTGCTTAACTATATAATGATGTACACACTTCTTATTATGTAAGGCTGTTAACGTTTTGTAATGATTATTTAAAGTCTATTTATTCACTTTTTCACCTACTACTGACCAGAACTTTTGTTATCATATTTTATAATTTTCTTAATACTACTATCAGTACACCTGTCTTCCTACTACCAACTGGTACTTATGCCTATTATATTTAGTGACATGATTTATTTCATTGTGATTATTGACTCATAGTAAATTGCCTTGATTGATTTAACATTTTCATAGGAAATATTGATGTATATTAGAGAGTAAGCAGGCTGATGACGATCTAATCGAAAACAACAGTATTGTTCACTTATATGTGTTGTTCTAAAATGAATTATACTTACATTCTATGTAATTTGTACAAGTGCGCGGAATGCTACTTGCAATGCGGTTTATTAAATACTATAGAGAGGAGTGACACCTAGCAATCACTGTCGGATGGAAGAATGCCAGATCAAATATACAAAGACTGATCAAAGTATTCTGAAGACTGGAAGATATGTGAAAAGAGACAATCACTTGTATTGCAAACAAAAGTCTGACAATTATAGGTGAGCGTACTTTTCTGTCTGGTTTCGGCGTCTTTAATCATTACACCAGTAAGTGTGTATATTTTAATTTTTTTTCTCACACAACTAATCTTTATTTTTTTCACGACTTGACGAACATATTGTTTTTTCTTTAAAAAAACAATTGGAATTTTCATTAAATTATTGATTGAACAAGATCATGACGTTCAATTATCAATTTTTTTCATACCTTTGAAGTAGTTACTTTAAATTAACTAAGCAAGGAATTATCATTGTTGAGAATTAATATCACTCTAAGAATTCACTTTAAATAGAGAGCTTTATTTAAGTACTGATGAATGCTTCTGTAAAAGTGAACTGAACTACTGAAACGTGAACAAAAAAAATGATTTTTACGACGACGAAAGTTACTTTTCAGTACTAAATTAATTTAGTTAGTGTTATGAAGAACAAATTGCAAGATTTGTTCTCACTTTGTTTTGCTCTAAAACATAGATGCAAAGTAATTGACTAACTGGCTGACTAGCGTCGACAATAGTTGTATTCCTTAAAGTAAGTAGCTTACTAGTAATGAATCTTCATCGGTTGAGATGGTTAGGACATGTGTTGCATATTTCAACCCAACTACTACCTCACCAGTGGAGGAGGAAATCAGGAAGATGCGGTGGAAGTGTATATGACACACCTAACTGCGTCACAAGACAAGCCCTCACATGAAACCTCCAAGGCAAAAGGAAAAGAGGAAGGCCAAGGAACACATTACCCCGAGAAATAGAGAAAGATATGAGAGGAATGAACGAACATTTGACAGAACTGGAAAGGGAAGCCCAGGACAGAGTTGGTTGGAGGAAACTGGTGGGCGGCCTATGCTCCATCAGGGGTAACAGGCGTAAGTAAGTAAGTACTACCTCAACAAGCTATGTTGTCTAATTTTAAGATAGGCTGGAAGGAAGCTAGAAGGGGCGGCCAAACCAAAACATGGTACAAATCAATGGAGTCACTGACAAGTAGACTGAGCTATGTTATTAGGTGTAGACTACTTGTTTGGGATTAGCAAGACAATTGTAATCGATGGTTATAGAGTTTGAATGATACGGCTCAAAATGGTTTGCACTGGTACAGGTGCATTGACAATTCTATCTCTTTTTTACAATGGACTATGGTAACTTTAACTGATGTACTTATGAACCAAGATGCACTTTTTTACTGACTGAATGATTGACTAATGACAATGATGATGAACAAGAGTGGAACTTTCGTCTTTGAAAACAAACATTTTCTTTTAAAACTGACTGAAGCATCAGTTTAATCGATTCAACGATCTGATGTATCAGTTCAATTCATCAACACATATCCTACTGCCAGTCCCAAGCCCGGGAAAAAAAATTAACTCACCAAAAAAACGCTAACCACAAAAACATAATTCAAACCATACAAAACTCTACTCTGGGAGTTAGAAGGT